CTGCAAATGGACTCAAACGTCACACAACACAAATTCGGTGATCAAACTGAAACAAACCGAACGACACAGTTTCATTATTTACAAACTCAACATATTTAACTACATAGACTGGCGCCAAGACTTAAGCCATGCGGGTTCGATCTTCTGCACCAACGAATCCTTCTTCTTCAACCTCTAGTTCAACTTGCAGCTTTTCTTACTTTTTTAGTTTGGTCTCTGCACCATCACAAACTCCAAGTTGCTTCCTCAACCATTGACATGTCTCCAACTTGAGTGTTTTTGTTATGATGTCATCCACATGTTATTGTGTTCCAAAGTGCTCCAGTTCGATGATATTATTCTTTGACATATTCATCAAGAAGTGAAAGCTGACATCAATGTGTTTACTTCTTCCATGGAGTACTGGGTTCTTAGACAACTTGATAGCAGAACTATTGTCACACAACACCTTTGTTGTCTCTTCTATGCTCTTCTTCCAGCTCATCTACTCAAGAACTCTCCTCATCCAAACATAGTGAATTGCCTAGAATGAGGCTGCCACAAATTATGTTTCTATTGTAGAGAGTGTGACCACTTTCTATTTCTTAGAGGCCTAAGAAATAGCTCCGCTGGTTAAGAAGAATACATAACCACTATTAGACTTCCTATCATCTTTATCACCAGCATAATCATTGTCTATGAACCTTGACAAGCGGTCTCCTTTTCTGTTTTCTTATATCATATTTCATATCCCATTGTTCCTTTTAAGTACCTCAACACCCTCTTAGCTTCAAGAATATGTTGCTTGGTAGGGGCTTCTATGTACCTGTTTAACAAACACACAGAGTACAACAAATCAGTCTTGTAGGTGCAGCATACAATAGAATTCCTATGAGATACTTATACTCTATAACATTCACAACTACCCCATCTCCAGCCTTTGACGAAATTGCTCCACGAACAATTGGATTCTTTACAAAGTTGCACTCAGCCAACTAAAACCTCTGAATAATGTCTTTGATGTACTTCTGATGGCAAATGAAAAAGCCATTTTTAGTCTGTGAAACCTCAATTCCTAGGAAGTATTTCATTTTTCCAAGGTTTGTCATCTCAAACGTGGCTTCCATTGACTTCTTGAACTTTTCTATCGTCACTAAGCTGCTACTAGCCCACATTAAGTCATCCACATACAGGCTAACCAGCAACACATCAATACCAATCCTATTAATGAAAAGAGTATGCTCATAGTCACTTTTTGTAAACCCAAACTACAATAACCCAACTTCAATCCTACTATACCAAGCTCATGGAGCTTGCTTCAACCCATAAAGTGTTTTTGGAAGTTTATATACGCTATCTTCCTCCCCATCAACCACAAACCCTGGTGGTTTCTCAATATAAAATTCCTCGGTCAAATCACCATGTTAAAATGTATTTTTAACATCTAACTGATAGACTGAATAACCATGATGTGTAGCCACTAGGGAAAACACCTCAGTGTAATCAATGTCATGCTTTTAGCGTAGCCTTTTGCCACTAACCTTCCCTTAAACTTGTCCACATAACCATCTTCTCTTAACTTTGTTCTGAAAACCCATTTAACATCAATAGGTGTTACTCCTTATGATAAGTTTACCAGAATTCGGGTTTTTCTCTTTGCTATGGACACCACTTCCTTTTTCATGGCCAGTTTCCACTTTTCATACACCACAACTTCCTCAAATGTTTGAGTATCACCACTAATAGCCACCATAACCTACCAATCTGCAAAGTCACAGTCATAAATGTCCAAATACCCTGGAGGCCTTCTATCCCTAGGAGGCGTGTCATTACTGGCTGGATTTTCAAGTTCCTCCTCCTCCTCTTTTGTGTCCTAATCTGCTTCGGATTCTCCCACTAGTGTAGATAGAGGGACTAATGTTGTAGTGTCTTTATCTTCCTCTTTACTGTCTGAAACTTCCCGTGGATCATCACTTATCACCTAGTTAACACAGGTTGAATATCTTAGTTCAACTCCACCCATCTTCATCGTCAAAGAATACATCTCTACTCATCACCACATTTTTTATGATGGGATTCTAAAGCTTGTAGGCCTTTGATTCTGGTGAAATTCCTATAAAAAGGTACTTCTCACTTTTTCCATCCAACTTCGTTCTTTTTTAAATCATGAATATGATCATAAGCTAGACAACTAAACACTCTGAAGTGATTCACAAAAGTAGGATTACCTGTCCAAAGTTGTTGTGGTGTTTTGCTACCATTGGCTGAGGTTAGACTTATGTTTAGAACATGGGTATTCCATGCCAAAGCCTCATGCCAAAACAATGTTGGAGCTCTTGTATCCTCCATTACGCATCTAACCATGTTCATGATATAACTATTTTTCCTTTATGCAATGTTATTCTGTTGAGGGGGTGAGAGCAGCTGTGAGATGTGTTCTTATTCCAGCCTCTTCACAGAGTTTCTTGAACTCATTCTGGAGGAATTCTCCTCCTCTATCAATCCTTAAACGTACGATACACTTCCCAATTTATTTTTTCCAATTGAGCCGTAAACTTCTTAAACATATAAGAGCTTCAGAATTTGCTGCTAAAAATATATCCATAACTTCCTACCGAAATCAACATTTAAGGTTAGAATATACCTCTTACCTCCATTTGAAACAGGAGTCATTGGTCTACACTAGTATGCATGTACCAATTGAAGCTCTTGAATGGCTCTTTAGTTACTTTTCTTTGGAAAAAAACACTCATGGGTTGTTTGCCCACTAGACAAGTAGGACAGACCCCTGGCTCACCAGTCAGCTTAGGAAGTCCTTCCACCAGTCCTTTCCTTTGTAGATCCATCAACCCTCTAATGTTTGAGTGTCCAAATCTCCTTTCCAAAGACTCGGCTTGCTTTCTTTGACTTGATAAGTTTGAAGACACTACAGACTACTCTTTTGAACTTCATTTATTTTCTTGGCATGTAGAACAAACATCCTATTGGATTTCATCCTTGTCTATAGTAGCAAGCCCTTTTGGTCATGGAATATTTTGCAGATTCCTTCCTTAATGACAAAAGTCCGCCTTTTTTCTTGCAATTACCCCACACTCAAAAGATTAGCCTTCAAGCCTGAGACAAAGAACATATAATGTATGATCAGAGGAGATTGATATACTCGTAATCTTATGTTTCCTTTTTCTTTTACTTTCAATTTGGCTCCATTCCCTAGCTTCACATTGCTTCTGTAAATTTTGTCTCAAGTAACAAACCAATGACTCTCACCAATCATATGGTTTCTACATCTAGAATCCAAAAACCACCATCCTTAAGTGTTCTCCAACTGTTATGCTAACATACTGATAGATCATTGATTGCACATGTTTTTACCCCTATTCTTGAGCCGTTTGAGATTTTGATTCTCGTGTTTTAAGCCGATTTCACAATAGGTTGTTCTTGTTTGTGATATTTCAGATCCTAGTACGTGAATGAAGGATTGGGAACGAGTTCGGAGTCGATTGGACGAAGATTGGACGTTTGGCGAGAAGTTGAGGAAGCCACACGGGCACGCTTAAAATTCCACACGGCCGTGTGACTTGGCCCGTGTGGCACCACTTTGCACGGGCAAATCACACTGGCCGTGTATGGGACCCTTGTGGCCGTGTGGAAAGTCCAGGGAGCTCACACGACAGACTGGAAATCCACACGACCGTGTGCCTCTGGCCGTGCAGTGTGCCTGAAGTCCACTAATCGAAACGCGGTGTTTTGACATCCACACGGGCAGACTGGAAAGCCACACGGCCGTGTGGTTTGGAAATTCTAGGTTTTAACCCAATTTCGAGTCAAAGGAAAGAGAGGCTGGGTTTTGGATCCCAAACACCCCAGGGATAAACCAAAGAGAGAGAGGGCTATTTGAGGGCATTCTTGGAGTGGAATTGGAGGATTTCTTCGCCTTGGAAGCTCGAGGAACAAGCCCAGACTTGAAGACTGATCATCTGAAGATTCTTACTGCAGTCTCTCTCTTCTCTATGGAGTAACTTCCCTTCACTTAGGTTTTGAGGAACCCTAGCTATGTTTGTTTGATTGGATGATTGTATGAGTACTCTTACTTGATAATCTTGAGTTCATATTCAATCTATGCACGTTTTCATGATTCAATTCTGCTTTTGTCCAGATTATTGATTCTGCTTTGATCCTATGAGAGCGAATACCTGATTAGGTCAATAGAGCACCATAGATTGATAGTATTGGATTGATTGCTTTAGTCGAGGGTTGATTCAATTCTTTGTATCGATTGAGAACCTCTTTCGATAAGGGGAGTCTAGTTCAGAACGCCTTGATCGGTTGTTCTAGAGAAGGATACGTCCCTATAGGCAATTGACTCAAGAGGGCCTTGTTCCTTTAGTCGAGACTCAAGGTCTAGTCAAGGATTCTCCGCATTGTGAATGAAAGTGAAACAGGTTAGAGATTACTAATCATTAATCTGGCTAGTGGCTAGGGGGAATCATACCTAAGTGAGTTCCCAACCTGTAATTAGATTAACTTTAACTATAGTTTGTTAGAGTAGTTTTAGTTCTTCCTACTTAATCTGGTTTGCTAGATAATGAACTGAAGCTGAGTAATAGTAACCCTAGAGACCCGTGGATTCGATATTTATTACTTGAGCCATTATACTGCAATCCCTTTCATTGGTTACACTTGGCCATTGTCAGGAGTTGTGTCATAGCGAGTCAAGTTTTTGGCGCCGTTGCCGGGGACTTTCTAGATTATTAGGAAAGGCAGAAGTTTGTTATTTTAGCGTTTCTCTTTTCTTTTCCACCTTTGCTTTTCACTTGGGTGTTCTTTGTTTTTGTTGGTGCGGATCTGAATCATGGATCCTCATGGCTTCTCCAACCATTGGGGGTATCCACCACCTTTCGAGTGGTATTACCCCGAGACTCCCTGGAGCAATCAAGGAGGAGAAGATTATGGATTCGGGTTCTAGTACCAACCCCCTTACTACGGAGAACAATAAGACCCCTGGGCATATCAAGAACAACCTCATTACCAAGAAGAATTTCTCCCACAACCAGAAGGGCCATCGGAGCTGGAGTTACCCATGGCGGCCTTCACGGGCCATTCTGCAGATCCATGCTACACTCAATAGCCAGATCCAAACTATGAATTGAGGTTTCTCATGGAGCAGTTTGCTCGAGACAGTGAGAGATCATGATCCAGGATGGATCTTTGTACCCATGCCTATCGTGAAATAGAGGAGATTCTCTTGAGCATTAAGAAGAGCCTCGATGATCTTGAGAAATCTTATGCACAGCCTAATCAAGATCACCCTTCAGCTACTATACTAGAGGAGGAGGAGGAAGACGAAGGCTACAAAGACATTGTGGAGCACACAGAAGTTGTCACGGAGAGCTCCCGTGGTTATCATGATCAGGAATGTCCTGTCGTAGCCGACCACACTTTTCCACATCCCACACTGAGCTTTGAAGAGGCAGGCATGAGTGAGGAGATGCAAGAAGATCTCATCAAAGAAATTGCTTGGCGACTTGCCCTCCAATCCGTGCTGGAAGAAGAAGAAGAGCAAGAAAGGGTGCAGAAAGAAGTTGTGGAGGATGAAAAAAGTAAAACAGATGGAGTTCTTGATCATTTCCCAGGGGTGATACCACAGGAAGAAGGAAGAGGGGGTTGAAGAAGCAATTGGCGTCCAGGCCGAGGACGAAGTTGAGGTGGAAGAGGCTTGCACTGGCCATGAGTTACATGTGATATCTCCACCAAACTTCGAGGAACTACTTAGCAAGGACCCATTTGCAGTGTCTCTTTGCTAGACCAAGGCCACATCGACATCAGTCCCTCTTGGTGGACGCGATGGTGGTCAATCGATGTTGTCATATCTGGTTTCGGGCAATGAGACGAGAGAAGAGAAGAAGAGGTCTTGAGGGTGGAGACTTCATCTGCATCAAGTGAACGAGCTTCCATCACTTGTCATGTCACATGCTCGTGACTTGAGACTCCACCTCATCGACGAGAACCTCAACTTCAAAGAGGTTTTGAGATGGGACGAAACTTAGGAGCCATCTTCCGGCTCACGACGTGAAAGAAGCGCTTGTTGGGAGGCAACCCAACCAGTCGGTTTGCATTTCTTTCTCTATTTCTCCTCGGTTGAGTCAGTTTTGTTCTTTGATTTTAGAGTCAATAACTCAACCTTTGTGAGATTTTGTGTGGTGTTTGTGTTCCAACTAGTCTCTCCTCCTAGAATACACCGCCTGCCCCGTCCACCATCATTCACCCTTGATCTGGTAACTTCGTTCTACCCTCCTTATCTTTCCTCCATTGAGGAAAATGTCGTGCTTAAGTGTGAGGGGATGTTCGATTATGTATGCGGGTGAATGTTTGGTTGTTTGTGTGCTTGGAGCCTAGTCCACTGTCCAAATTTTTAAATTTGAGGGCTCCAAGTACGTGCCTCCTTGCAAATTGCATGCTCAGTATTCTTTGAATTGACAGTCTCTATAGTAATGTGCAACCTAGGGAGGTAGTGTAGCACTATGGAGGATGTTGAAGTATAAGATTTTTCCTATCTAGCTCTCTGTTGTGCCAGTTGATTTTGTGGATTAGTGGAGCTAAGACCGTTGAATTCATGTGGTAATGGTGACTCTGTTTGGATTGTGTTATGGACTCGTGTATCGAACAGGGTGCTCATGTGGGAAATGAAAAGCAGTTGGTCCTCCATGTCGAAATCATTGAAATCTTAAACATGGGGTAAGCCCAACGTGTGTGGCACCGTTCATTGCACAAAATCGGGTTTTGGAAGATATTTTAGTGATCCTTAGTGGGGTACTCCTACAAGGTGAAGCTAAGCTATCTCTAGTACAAGTAAAATTTTCACCCGTTGTGAATGAAAGTGAAATAGGTTAGAGATTATCAATCATTAATCTGGCTAGTGGCGAGGGGGAAACATACCTAAGTGAGTTCCCAACCTGTAATTAGATTAACTTTAACTATAGTTTGTTAGAGTAGTTTTAGTTCTTCCTACTTAATCTGGTTTGCTAGGATAATGAACTGAAGCTGAGTAATAGTAACTCTAGAGACCCGTGGATTCGATATTTATTACTTGAGCCACTATACTGCAGTCCCTTTCATTGGTTACACTTGGCCATTGTTAGGAGTTGTGTCATAGCAAGTCACATACTATTGTTAGTCTTTTTTTCTCCATCATTCTCTTCATCCACATATGCCATTAGAAACACATTTGCCTTCATATTTACACCGACTGACTGATCTTGATAAGAGTATCACTTGAAATGATATTGTGAGCCTGTTAAATCTACCATTAATGGCATTCATTTATGTAATGCCCCATTTTGTGGCACTTAAAGCATTCCATCATATCTCTGTTTCAACCTCTTCCTCTTCCCCTTCCTCGAGAACCACCTCTGATCAATCCTCAGCCACCTCTTCCACCAAATTCATTGGTAGCCTTGAGCACCTGATCTTCTTTATTAATGTTCTTAGCAAATATTTCTCATGGACGATCAAGGAACTTTGCAACTCATCAACAGTTAGTTCTTCAATATCTTTGGATTCTTCTATTGAACAAACAATATAATTAAATTTCTCAGTCATGATTCTGAAAACCTTTTCTGCAATCTTAACATCATGCATTGATTCCCCACATTTCCTCATGTCATTTTCCACTACCATGACTCTTCCAAAGTACCCATCAACTGATCCTCCTTGCTTTATTGCAAAACTTCCTTCACTCATGGCTGCTTACCAAACTTTTACTCTCTCGTCTTTTTGGGGAATTCCTCACTTTCAACATGTTCTTCCCAATCCCACAAATCATTTAACCTTTTCAATATTAACTCCCTATCTATTGAAACATATTCTCGCTTTTATTGAAACATATTCACCTTAATTCTTTCTTTTAGTTGAAACAAATTTGCTAGTCTTTTGGTTATAGCTTGTAACATGTTCTGATACCATAATGAACTGCACGAGCAAGAATGAAACAAACTAATAGTGTATTCCAATGATCAACATCCGTCATATGTACGGGACTTAAAACCCGCTAATCATGACCCTATTACCCTACAAATTCGCTTACATAATCAGTTGTTTGACAATTGAATTACTTTACTTCAAACAGACTCAAACATCACACAAAACAAAGTTCGATGACCAAACCGAAACAAACCAAATGACTCAGTTTCATTATTTATAGACTTAACATATTTAAACTTCATAGACTAGCGCCAAGACTTAAGCCACACGGGTTCGATCTTCTAATCTCTGCACCAACAGTTTAGTCCCCAACGTCTCCAATGTCCAAAAACGATGTTGCTCCCATTGCGCATTGGCTTGGCTTGCGTAGAGGTGGGCTCAAATAGTTTTTTTTTTCTCCTGATATTCTGCACCAAATTTAAGGTACTGTCATAGATATGTCATGAAATAAAATAGAAAACAAGTTGAAGACATGATTAATCACTTTTTTTAAAGTATTATTGTCCCCACTACGATTTATCAGTAAGATTTAGATAAACCACCCTCTGGAATCCCTTCAACGAAAAATCTAGGAGCATTAACGTCCTATTTCTAAGATTGTGTTTTTAGGAGAAGGAAAATTGATAGAAGAGAAGTAGAACACATCATTTTGAGTTGCAACACACTTATATTGTGAAAATAACAATTCTCTTCATAATAATCAAATAAATAAATAAATAATTGATTATGTATAAAAAATACTCAATATTCAAACTGCAAATGTAAAGTGATAAGGTCATGTTTAGTAGTTAGGATTCTCTATATTGATACATTTAATCAATTTATATATTCTAATTAGATGCATTGTTTCAATATATGAAATTGAAAAATACATTGTTTGAAATTTGAAATTATTTTGGTGGTCCCTCAAAAAATGAGAAAGAAAAACTGCGAGATTGACGATCTCTGCTTTTGGTGGTCCTATCTTATGCTCAATACAAGTATTGTTGGTGCACACAAGTACTGGACACCATAAACGTTCGTGATAGCCGAACATAATTTCCTTAGACACTTTAGTACAGTACCCTCACCCATTCGACATATCTCATCTAAAGAGTCTGCCAAGCATCCATATATAAGCATACGTAAAGCACTAGTAAGCTTCTGGTGTGGAGAGAGTGAGTCACGACCTATGACATCTTTTCCTTGCTTGAAGTGGTCATCATAGTGAACAACATCATACATGAGTCATGACCCGATTTAATTAGGCAGGGGGCACCCGATATCGTTTTGTGAAGACCTTAGCATCATAGGTTGGGCTTGGGTTGTAATAATCTTGCATCAAGCGCTTGTTCTCGTCTTCCTTATCACGCCTCATTGATTTTCATAATGATGAACATTGTCAAGATGATTTTGCTTGATGTTGGCGCCTTTGGGTTCCGTACATCGCGAAATCTCTATACGTTGACGCTCAAGTTGACACTCATACTCTCATTGCTTATCATAAGCTTCTCTTTGCCTCTCATTGGCTTCTCTACAAGGGGAATCCATGAGGCTAAAGATATGAATTAGGAGGAATGATTTTCTTTTCAAGAAGGAATGTTTGATGAGTAGAATGAAAAAGTTACGGGGTTCATTTATAGAAACACTAAATAATTCCTTATGCAACGATGACCAAAGTTGAATGAACAGTTAATGACACAAATTATTATGATTAGAGCAGAATGAAAAGTTGATGACATCATTCAATCCAATTAAAGTCGAATGAATAGTTGATGAGACCACTCAATCTCAATAAAATTGAGTAATAGTTGATGACACAACTCAATCCGACAAACATGTGAAGAATATATGGTAATCTGAATTAGTTATTGTACTTTCGTCATTGATGACATCATATTTAGCGACAATTTTTGTGGCCGAATTTAAAAAATATAACATCAAAGTGGTCATTTTAATTAATTATTATTACCTATTTAAAATAATCTACAACTATCAAATTAATGTTATGAAATCTACTATAAACTACATTAGCTGTTTGAGCCTAACTGGGTGTAGGAGTGAGACTCGGGGAAAATGGGTCAAGGAGAGTAAACAAAGAGGAAATAATCTTCGGTTTAGAACTGAGGAGATCACAGAGAAAATTGAGAGAGAAATATCCTTGAGAGAGAAGTTGATGATTTTAGAGATAGAGTCCGAAAAATCCCATCCCTTCACCCACCGGAGTAAATGCCATATTTATAGGCTACATGGTGGTGGGTGAGTGGTTGGGTTACAAGTGGATACAATGATGTGACCACTGACACATCAGGGATTTAGGCCATACTTTTAGGACCCTGATGTGACTACCCCTGACAGAGGCAAGACTATACCTAGGACAATACCTAGGACTATGATGGTGACGGCCCGTTGGGTGACGCGGCACCGCTTCTACGGATACTCGATGAGGGACCACGGCCATGCAATGCGCCGTCATTGAGTGTTTACGCGCGTCTCCACGGGGGTGGTCTCTACCAGCGCGGCTAGGGCGCTCGACTTCGGGGTGACTCGCGCGTGAGCATCTTTGGTGCGCGCACCTCCAAGAGGGTGGCCTCTACCTGCGCGCATGATTCCGGCGCGACTCGCGCGCTGGACTCCGGGGTGACTAGCGCGTTTTGCCTTGGCGTGAGCATCCTTGGTGTTTCCTCGGTGTGGTGAGATCCGAGTCACATGCCCAACAATTGCCCCCCATCAGGGGGTATTCCGCGAATGCCTCCTGTTCGGTCTTCGTGTGGTTGACTCGGATCTGGGCGATTCCATCTTTCCCGCGTTATTGACTGGGATGGGCGCACTCTGGGTGAGTCTGGGTCCCTCTGGTCCTTGCGCGCTTCATGTCCTCAGTGGTGCGCGCGTTCTGTGTATCGCGGGTTCTTCACTTGTGCGCGTTGTCTAGGCTGAGGATGGCGCCGGTCGAAGTTGGTGTGTCATGCCCCCCCTGTTGTGCGCGTGACTTTGAGCTACGCTCGTAAGTCATGCCCCCCTGTTGTGCGCGTGATTTTGAGCTACGCTCGTAAGTCATGCCCCCCTATTGTGCGCGTGACCTTGAGCTACGCTCGTAAGTCATGCTCTCTCATTGGTGCGCGCTACTTTCGGGTTTGGGATGGGTTATTTTTTCTTCCTCGCGGGTGTGTCATGCCCCCCAGGCGGTGCGCGGCACTTGTGGCGTCGCCGACTAAAATCTTTGATGGTTGGTGTCCACGTGTCTCTGTCTGATTGGGCTATTTGGGCGGGGATTTCTTGAAATTCGAAAGAATTCGAAAAGATTTTGTGGGATCTGACGGTTACGAATCCCTATGTAACTTTAACCCTTCGTTTTCCCTTGGCTGACTATAAATATTGGTTTGCTAGAGGGGAGTGGGATTTATCTGTTTCTGCAACTTTGCTTCTCGTTTCTTTGTTCTTTCTTTCTCTGAGATTCCTCTCCTTCTTCTACAACCTCGATTCTCTTTTCGCTGTTGCTGGATCAAGTTTTTATTATGGCTGGCATCAACATCAACGAGGCTGAGGTCGTACAAGGCGAAGAAGGTAATCTTTCCACTCTTTCGCACACTTCTACTGATCGCTCGCTGGAATTAGATGACGGTTCCGGCGATGGGAACGGCGGCGGTGGCAGTGGGGTTCCGGCGACGCCGTCGTTCGACGTCGAGTCGGAGGACGATCTCGGCAGTTCTCCTGACGAAGGTATGGTTGCTTCCGGGAGCGGGCAGGCGAGACAAGGGGATCGTGGGGTGCTGATAATCCGCCGTGGCCGTGATGGGAGGCCGGTGGAAGCTGGTGGTGATGTGTGCGAAGACTCTGGCGCACAATCAGAGCCAGACTATAATGTGCGCGTCTCCGAGGCTATGGCTCGGCTCGGATTACGCGGTGTTGACGCCGCGTACAATGTTATAGA